CCTCCTCCTCCCCCTCCTCTTCTTCCTCTATATCTCCCTGTGCAAGATAAATGCAGGGCATATTTTCATTTGGCGCACAGAGCGCACAGGCCGCGAAGCCCAGCGCACCTAGCGCACAGCGCACATCGCATAGCGCACGGCGCACAGTGCGCTCGCTGCAAAATGTGCGCCCCGCGCACAGCGCACAGTGCGCTCGCTGCAAAATGTGCGCCCCGCGCACAGCGCACCGCCCCGCTCAGCGCACCGCATCAGGGCGCCGCAAGTATGGAGTAAACCTGTGATTTCTTCTCCTTGTCTGTTTTAGGTATTGCCTTCTGGTAAGTTGGTTTTCTTTGTAGTCATTATAAGAGTAGTTAGCACGAAGGAGCAGTGGGAACACTAATGGTTGGAAGATATGAGAGACCCGGTGAAGAGCAAACTAGAGTTGTATCCATTGGGTGCATGGTGGGAAACCCGTCTAGGCAACAAAGGCTCTTTACAGTGTTTTGGACAGTGATGATGAGAGGGTAACCCTGCTGCTTATTCTTCCTCCCCAGCTCCCGGTCTTTGGTTTCTAAAGAGTAGATTTATTGGTCCGGTTTGTTGGGGAGTCGCATTTTAAGTGTTGTAGTTTGTGGGGTTGATAAAAGTTTTTGGAAAACATAACGTAGGACTTCCACTTAGCAAGAATATGAACTGTGAAGTGACATTTTGATTACCGACAGCCGCACTACGGGGGCAGTGTGAGTGCCATCGTCAGTGGTGAGAGCGTTAGTCGGTTGTAGTCATTATAGAGTAGTTAGCATGAACGAGCAGTAGGAACGCTAATGGTTGGACGATATGAGAGACCCGGTGAAGAGCAAACTAGAGTTGTATCCATTGGGTGCGTGGTGGGAAACCCGTCTAGGCAACAAAGGCTCTTTACAGTGTTTTGGACAGTGATGATGAGAGGGTAACCCTACAGCTTATTCTTCTTGCCCAGCTCCTGGTCATGGAACCTATGGGTAGTTTTTAGTGTCTGAAGGCTTAGCCATTTACTTGGATCCTGGCGGAAAGTAAAATTGCCGATTTAGGCAACTGAGCACGGTTCAATAGTAGTTTAATATCGATGAGCGACACTGCAATGATCTGCTAGTTGGCACAGACTGAACTTAAGCACCAAGTAGGATGGTGCCTTGTTTCTACACGAAATTACTTTGAGCTTCAAGGGATTTTGGAAGATGAGGACAGACCAGTGAAAGGAAGGGGCGCTGGACCCGTTTTCCAGCAACAGCCCAATTAGGGCTATTGGCTAGGTTACCAGCCCGGACGTCCAGGACCCTTTTCTATCCCGCGTTGTCCGATCGGACAGTTCGCCCGGTTGTCCGAGCGGGGCCCAGTGTCCGGGGTGGTGGAAAAATAGCCTGTGGGTCCGACGGGGTTTTCGGCCCTGCGGTGATGCTTTTTGGGGTTCGTAGTACCCCCTCTCCATCTGGCCGATTTTAGTAAGGCCCATAGGGCCTCCGAAAATGAGACCGAAAAAGGCCCGGTCTGGGCCGTCACATCTAAGAGATCTACAGCCCAGATCGGGCCGAATTCAAATTCGAAATCAGCGCCCGACCTCCATCTGCCAGCGCGTGACTTCGACACGTCGTGGCAGTTGGGCGATGCTGAAATCGCTCGCCAACGGCCACGACCCACCACGTGCTCCAACCCCGTTGCAGGTGCGTACCCTCCTCCTTCCTCCTTCATGTCTCTCTCATCTCTCGCCTCCTCCTCCTCCTTTCCCTCCTCTTCCTCTTCCTACTCCTCCTCCTCCTCCTTTCCCTCCATCTCTTCCTCCTCCTCCTCCTTTCCGTCCACTTCCTTCTGCTCCCCCTCCTCCTCCTTCTTCTCCTCATCTTCTTCCTCCTCCTCATCCTCCACCTCCTCTCCTCCTCCTCGTCCACCGTTGGCGTCCTCCTCCTCTTCCTCCTCCTCCTCCTTTTCTTCTTCTTCCTCCTCCTCCTCCTCTTCCTGCTCTTCTTCTTCCTCCTCCTCCTCCTCCTCCTCCTCCCCCTCGTCCTCCTCCTCTTCGTTGTCGTCGTCCTCCTCCTCCGCATCCTCATCCATCGTCGCGGCATCCCAATTTGCATTCATAGCCGCGGCCCCCTCCTGCTCCCTTTCCTCCTCTGCCGCCGCCTCCTGTTCTTCTTCGTCGTTGTCACCATCCTCCGCCTCCTCCTCTTCCTCCTCCTATTCTTCTTCATCCTCCTCCTCCTCCTCTTCCTCC